GTCTGTAATCCATAAATCTTAGTTTCCAACAACTCTTCCTCAGCGAGCACTAACTGCCTTATCTGGTAAGAGATTCACTTAGATCGGGGTGAATTAATCTTCCTTTACAGTTAGGTTCAATGACAGCAAGACATCCCTGAGGCTTCCCATTCCCATTTATCCTCTTGCTGAATTGCACTGACAGAACTGTTTTTCTTGGTCTCCTTTGCTCTCCAGCAAGGTAGGCTTCATGCTACCATAAATGAGTGAAATGAATTGAGCTGGGGTTTTTTTCTGATTTAAAGGGACAAGGTCAACTTGAAAATTAGTCATTTCCAAAGTAAAATGAATAAAAAGAATTGCAGGTGCCATATCTGTTCTTGAGATTTCCTTATCAGGATTTTCTAATCCAAGTTGTAAGCATTTTGTCCCACCTCTAGAGATATGGAACACTCAAATAAAGTAGGAAATTGGATGAGAAGATGATATGATTGAAAAAACAATCAAAAGGCATGTCAAATGCACAAAATACTTAATAGAGAAATCAAATTCCCCTCATGGCTACTGTTAGTAATATTAGGTGGTTTTTGTAACATTAAACAAATGAAAAACATCCATGGAAAAGAGAACAACTATGCAGTTGACAACCTTCCTCTATTTCACTGTATCAATAACGAAGCCTTTGCAGCAAAGTTAATCCAAATTCTGCAGCAGTAGTGCTGCTCACTAGGATTTCTGTGGCATTTTGTGATATTTTTAAAATACGAGATTTCATAAGTGAAGTAGGATAAGACAGAATGTGTTATGTGAATGCTGTAGCATTCTCTTTCAAATGTGAACATTTGCTGAAGTACCCTTCGTGGACAGGCTCACTGAAATAAACAGAAAATCTTCAAAATTGTAAAATTATCATCTGCATAAAACTTTGAAGGATCTGGAGCATTTAAAACTTTGGAGCCCAACTCTTTCTCAACACTATTGAATGACACTAGTGATATAATGTCTGCTCAGTTAATTATATTTTGGTTTATACTTTGCCATAATTGCAATTGTTACAGGGTAGCTTATGTAGAAAACGGGAAAAAAAAACCAAACAACAGAAAATTCCTTTGGAGAAAGATGGACGAAGGTTATTGGGGAAAGTATTTTATATAGCATGAAAGGCAGGTGGCATTTGAATTATGCGTGCTACAAAAAAAAGAGACTATCATAATATTTAACAAAGTGGGTGCTCTCTCTGCAAAAAATTATTTCCAAACAACATGTACCAGAGCTACTGCTTATGCACCTGGGAAGGTAGATAGATACCTCAGTGTGCACGAGGCTAGAATTCTGAAGTACATTGCTTCAGCAAATTCGTGCCCATGGACTAAATGAAAGCCTGATTAAAGCCAGCAGATTATCCACATCTAAGCCATCACTTTTTACCAAATAAGAACAAGAGAGAATTTGATAGGTTCTTGTTTTGCTGCCTTTCTCTTTTTCATACTTCTTGGTTACTATTTCAGCATCTAACAAGATTTTCTAAATGCCAATAATATTGCTGCATTTGATTTATGTTGCTCTCAAATGCATTTTGAGAACCCTAATAAAAATTAGCAAAAGTGCAGTGCTGGTGTTGCTATTCACAAAGATATCTTAACAACAATTTTTGTCCATTTTAGACTCTAATTATACATGACTGCCTACAGGAGTTTTTCTTGGAAACGCTGAGGAAAATCACAATCTTTCAGCCTGTTGCAGGAACAAAAAGGTAAGTTATTTCAAAAACTTAATTTAAATACAGCTCATCTCCAGAAGAGGCAAGAGGCATTTTCTGGACTTAAGGTATTAAATTACAACTTTCTCCTCCTTTAGAAATCTACGTGTAATATACTCGCTTGCATGAATTTAAAAAAATTGCAAGCTCAGCCTACAAAAGCTTCTTTTACTTTTGATACTTGTATTTTCATTCAGACAGAGATTTTTGGAAGGCCTTCATTTTCTCTGAAAAATCCCAGTTTCAGCGTGTGAGTCTGTCCACAGGTGCAAATGAAGTATTAAGCCACCAAATTAAATTCTGACTTTTCTCTGGTGAAAAATTGAAAACCTCATATTTCCATAATTCACTACATACTGTAAACACTTCTTTTCTTTTCATATCCATGCCTTTCTTGAATGTTTATTTTTTTACTCATTGATATCTGATAGTATTGATTGGCTGCAGAGCCAGAGAGCTCTGTAAAGTGGATCATTATATTCTTGGAGGCAAGACAGAACAGAATTAGACAGTAAAAAATGTGTTTCTTTTAATTATCTTGTATATGCATCTGCTTGTAGAAAAAGCACCCAGAAAAGCAAGAAAGAGGATTGTGTCTGGTTAAATATTTTTAAGAAAGTTATACCTTTTCCGTGTTAAATTTGCTAATAAAAGGAACACCAAATACCAAATGTTTGTACATGTGCAACACAACTTTGGATTCTTCCAGTTGATTAATTCTAGGACTGCCATCCCTTGAACATAGGAATGTCGCTGTTGCCTACATACGGTAGTTACTGCTGCTTTGCGGTAAGGAATTTGTTGTCTAAATAAGGGAAAGCAAAATTCTTCAGTTTCTTGTACTGTAAATTGGGTAAGCGCATGCAGAGAACTGAGACTTAGAATTCCTCATCTGATATATACATGTTTTCTTATCAGCCAAAGTAAACCATTGCATACTTTTTCAAACCATGTTCCTCAGTGCTTAATAACGTTATCGTTGGCACAAGCCAGGAGTATTTGAGTTAAGATTTAGTGTGTGAATCCAAACCAAGTAATTCTGAGTTGAAGCTAGACCTGGGTAAGTCTAGACTAGCTCTTTCAGACCGCTCAGCAAAGGTGCTCTGGTTTCTTAGAGGAACTACAAAGGTTCACTTACTGTATATGAGGACTTGGATGTCAAGGGGGAGTAATTCTAGAAGCATGTATAGTTCAGTCTGCATTCTCTGTGTAGCGATCACATATTCAAAATTTTGACTGAACATTCTTTGACACAGTACTAATTTTCTATCTCTTCAAATTCATGCAGCCACATACCCTGAGTTTAACAGAATGTTTGGGTTTTGTTTAACTTCCAAATACTGATGCAAAGACTGATAGGAAAAAAAATGGCAAAACTCTGTGTTGTGGATTGTTTGCAATGGCTTTAGAGAGAAACTAAATACTGGAAAATCCCATTTCTAAGTGGAAATTAAAGACAGAAGAATAGGTGAAAGGAAAAAGACGTAGAAAGAAGAAGAGGCCATGGACAAATAATGTTTTTTCCACTGAATCTTTATGATAATCTCTGGTATTTTAGCTTGCAATATATATACACCTTTCACAAAAGACAGAAAAGGTGGTGGAGTTTGAAAGGAGCTAGTCTGAGAAAGGTAGGAGAAAGAAGACCGCTCTATTCAAAGGAGTCACTAAAAGAGGAGAGATGAGAAAATAATATAGAACATAGCGAAGGATTGCAATTCTTTATCCTATGTCCACTGGTGCACGTCAGGTTAGATAAAAAATCTACGACATTCAAACAGCCAGGTAGGCATATAAATCCATACTCTGTGACAGAAACATAAGGAAGAAGGTAATCATTTGTGGCACAGCCACAGCACGGAAGGTATCTAGCTGAGAAGACACAGCTGGCCACTGAAGTGGATGCCAAACACACTCATATTTCTACTGTGACTGTGGAAATACTGTCTGGATGAGAGTGCCACTGGTAAAATGGCTTATCCTGAATTCTAGCAGGCTAAATCAAGTCCCTGCCATTCTGTTGTTACCTAACTGAGCTACAAAACCATAAATAAGGTCACGCCTATCTTGATGAGCATACCTGTTGCTATGCCTGCAATTTTGAAGTCTACCACAAACTTATGCTTGCGTCAGTACTAAGTGTAGGATATATTCTCCAGATGCAAACCCTTCTTATGCCAAAGCCATTTTTAGGCATTCAGAGGGGATGAGCCTAGGAAATTCTGCCTCTAGAATTAGTGCTGCCTGCTGAAATGACATACCCACATGCTGTGTCCCCACATTTTCCCAGTATTCGCTGCACTGTTTATACTGAGATGTACACAATTTTTCATACAGTCTTGCTGCAGATGCGGACTTGAGAGCAATGCTAGGCAAAAAGACTAGTTGTTTCAACTCCCCAGACAGGTTCAGAAAATGCAAAATATTCTGAGATACTTGTCCATAAATCCCCTCACTGTTCTGGGCTTCTTCTGTCACTCAAATGCGTGTCTCCTTCATTCTGTGGAAAGATATACAGTTGGAGTAGCTGGCTGACTGTACATGGATTGTAAGAAACAAGACCACAGAAGAGTAGTGATTTAGAGTCTATGGTTTTAATCTAACCTGAAATTAGATGTGTCCTCAGTAATGAAGCTGCAATAGAGCCTATTAGATAGCAATAACCATCACTTAGGGAGCAACAGTAGCCCCCAACAGAAAAAAAAAAACTTTAAGCTTTAGCGGCATGATGGCAAAACCAGCTGACCTTTATTCATATTAGTATTCACATAGTTTATGCCACTGGTGGAGCTAGTTCTAACATTGACAACATACCACCGAGATAGTATACATACTGATTCATCTGTAGTCGCCAAGAGCAATCAGAATTTCACCTGGTACTCACACACAGCTCCTTGACATGGAAAGAGCCTTTGTGCCAAGGGACAAAGGTGTGGATAACAAATCGTTATGCATTTCCATTTTGTTTTATTCCTGAGACTGATTCAGGAACCTGATCCATTCAAAATCTTGAGCTGGTTTCAAAAAGACCCTGCAAGATGTGCACTCAGCATTGAGGATGCGCTGAAAAGCATGAGTTGTAGAAATTCAAGACAACCATCTGCTGAGGAGCAGAGCTTCAAACAGTGCAATGTATCACCAGGAGGATTCAGTATCTATGGTGAACATATTAGTCTGGTTTTCAGATCCAGCGCTGGGCCACCAGATTTTCACTTGAAGATGAAAACCACTCCAAATCCAAAGGAGCCAAAGGGCGCAGAGAATGAGGCCACTACTTGAAGGCAAGTGAGAGTTAGAAGAGGTTTCCTTTTATGCTGACAGGCTCTCTAAACTTGTCATTGCAATGGCACATGAAGAGATTAATGAAAAGTCAGATGGCCCTGACCCATGTTTTTCTCTTTCTTGGAAAGCCTAGTCATAAATCTGTTGGACTGGGTACAAATAAAGATAAAAATAATCCATCAGCAAATGTTACTCATGTCAATATGAAAGAAACTAAATATGAAGAGAGTCCACCTTCCAAGAAGACATTTTTTATAAAGAAATAAACCAGTCTTCCAATAGAAATGAGCTTTTCCAGAAGAGAAGGGTAGGACAATAGGAGAAGGGAAAATGCCATGGCAAAAACATTTTGGCCAAGATGAATTTGCAAATAATTTAAGCAAAGAGATACTTATTTATGCAAATAATGTGGTTTCAGTCACGGTGGTCTCAGTTATGAAGAACACGGAAGGTCAGGCAAATGTCTCAAACACAGCTTGAAGTATTGTGCTGAAAATGTGTTACTGAAGCACTCTAAGGCCGTGGTTTCAGACTTAGTAGACTCCTGTATGAAAAACTTACATGACCTAGCAGGCAAACTCTTTCTAATTCACATTTTGCTTCTTCAGTGAAGCTGACTCTGTTCACTCTAGGCAGTCATAAGGCTGCAGAAATTGTACAAGCAATGTTGAATTATTTGCATTCTACCTTGATAGTGCAAAAACATGGAGGAGATAACACCTAGCATATGCCTCTGTGAAGACAGGTTCACAAACAGAGGCAAAGGCTCAGAATTGAGGTTTGCAGCAACAAGGACTGAAACATTGCTGAAAGAAAAAGAAATGACCTGTGCAGATACAGTGGGTAACCACATTATTAAGCAAGGGTTAACCCTCTGGCGTGAAAACCAAAACCAATGCAGCCAATGCTCAAAATCACAACCAGGAAGGGAAGCTGAAACGAGATCACCAAGGAACATGCTCTGGAGTTCAGAAATTTGGGATGTAGCCAAAATGTTACCAGATTCATGGGCTTGATTGTGATTGCATTATTGCCCATAGATTGTCATCTAATCTCACAGAAGAATGTCAATAAGAAACCAACAGAAGGTAGCAATGTTAGCAAAGCAGGTCACACTGCCTTTGGGTTGTTATTACAAGAGTCCCATGGTCCCACCTTCCGAACATTTTTAGAAAGATGTCAGGATCCATCAAAAGAAGCTGAAGAATCAGATTCACAGAAGTCAGACACTGAAAGGCAGAAGCCTGAAAATGACATGTCCAGTGCTACATTAATACTAATCTGGAAGTTAATAAACAAAAATAGAAGAGGGTTTTTTGTTTGTAAAGTAGAAGGTCAGCCTGGAAATCCAATTGTTGATGAAACAAACCAAAATACTGGCAAAAATACCAAGGGACATATTGGCCTTTCAGACACTGAGCGATCCTGTGAAGAGGCCGTATCTGGACTGACTAAAATGCTTACTGATCAACTCGATCTGAGCAGAGAAGACAGCAACAGCGCACAATTCATTGGCAGTCTGGTGGATACAGTGCTAAAGCTGTGTCTTATGATAGTTAAATACAGCAACGCTGAGTCACTTCTGGCAGAGCCAGGGACCAGTAACGATGGCACAGGATCAGTAGGCTCTAAGGGCATGGGAACTCCTAACTCCGTGGCTGGATCCAGTAAAGGTACTGTAGCAGGACACAGGGTGGTAGCGGTGAATCAAAATCCTTCTGAAAATGTATGTAACAGCTCTGAGCCCTTTTGCAGTGGGTGATTGCCTCTCAGGCAGACATGCCTGTGCTTTGCTTTTTGGATGGCAATGAGGAGTTCATGAATAAGGTGAGCAAGGCAGAAATTAGAACCTGATTGTACTTAGTTGTTTGGTTGGTTCTCCCAATCATACTGCCTTATGGGGAACAAAGATTTTCTTAAATCTTTTCTAGACATTTCTTTTTTTAAGCTAGTGCCCACAGTAGCAATGTGGTAATATTAAATCTACTGTCTTGTTACAAAATAGTAAACTAATAGGAAATAAACACATAAAGAAAAATATGTACCTTTAAATCAGCACAAAGGTGGTGCAAAATTATCTTACATGCTGTATGGGGCTGGATGGGAACCACCCAAGAGTACTGAGGGAGCTGGTGG